GGTGTGGAACCTATGAAATGAAAATATAAAAAATAGACAACATGTAAATATGGAAGTCTAGTCCACAGCTCCCTGCGGAATTTACAGCCCAATACTTACTGCCGAATTTCCCACTCATACGCAAACCAATACGACTATTCCGCGCCGAATCGCCACGACTAGTGCTCGGCTTATTTAAATCGGTCATATTGAAGTGTTGGTGTTCAATCACAACGGGCATTTGTTGCGGCGACCGTTTATTGGATGCGCCCAAATTTAGTGAATTCATGCCAGCAGCAGCACTGTTGCCTGTGGCATTCAAAGTGGATGCGCTTGAAGAGAGCTCCAACAAGAAAGTGGCATTCTCACGCATGGTTGTATAAATTTCGGAATTCGCGATGAGTGTAGTAGTTTTTACGCCAAATAAATTCATTTCATTCGCTGAGAAGAAAAGAAAAAGGCAATTCGAAAATATTATACCAAACACAAATTCTGAACTTTTCTCACCCGTAAGTGTCACTCCCGGTACGCTATTTACGTTGTCTACATTCTTATTCGCTGCTATATATTTCTCTCTGCATTCGTCGCACATCAGAAACCAGCTGGATGCACCTTTACCACCTTCCCCACAATTGCCGGCCCAGCCTTCGCAGAAAATCCCCACCGAATTGTAACCTTTGCCCTTTGCGGATTTGCCACAACCCGGATGTACGATACGCATGTGGTACGTCACGGGTATCGGCAAAAATACTTCACACACCTCACACCATGAACCATCGTCCTTTTTCTTACGTCGCGATTTCTTCACCATGTCTCTATCGTTCGACTCTTGCTTTTCCTTGGCTTCGGCGCTCGGCTCCCGTGTCGGTGTGCCACCGCTTGCCTTCTCGCGCTCCACTATATTCGATTGCATCACTTGCACGCAGTTGGTGCACACCTGCTCCCATAGGTAGACGAGACAACGCAGCGCAGGCGGCAGCACAGTCACCACTTCGGACAGCGTGTGCAACTTCTGCTTCTCACCACTCTCTAATTCCTCGCCGCCACTACCAGCACCGGAGGCGGCTGCTAAATTTTTCCGATGCTTTCGGTTGTTCACCGACGAATTTCCACTCTTCGTAAGTGTCTCCAGCGTGGATGGTCTGATGTTCAAGTACGTACCCGCATTAGCCACCTCCACAGAATGGCGCTGTTGTGCTTTTTGCTCGCGTGACAACTGCAGACGACTGTCCTTCGAATCGCGCCTGGTCACAACTGTTGCGCCCTCTTTGGGTAGTGTTGGATGGAATTTCAAGAAGCTAGCGCAAGCCATAGCGTCGTGTACGAGTCCTTCATGCCAGAGGAAAGCAGCAAATACCGCGCGTATGCTTTCGGCCAACGATGGTGGCATGGCACGCTTGATGGGCCCAATGGCACTGCGCTTATTGGGCGACGGTTTGGATGCGGAAGTCGCTGCATTAAGTGAAGCGTTATTCTGATTTAACGGTGGTGGCCAGACGGGCGGGCTCGAGTCGTCCGTACTTGCGGTTGTGCTGGCTGTCTTCATTTCACCAAATAAGATCTGATCCTGCGTGGTCACGCCACCACCATTGGTAGTCGTGGTAATCTGCAACATGCTCATATCATCTTCAAGTTGCGCCAAATCTGGTTCCTTATGCGCTGCAGTAGCCTCAACAGTGCGATTGGAAGGTGATGTATTGCGACGTAAACTGGTCACTAATTTTCGAGGCGAATGCTTTGGTGTGGAAAGTAAAGCTGCTGTTTGCGATGGCGTGAAGCTGGTGACCCGAATCGTAGATATATCAAAAGTAGGTGTAGAATTTTCTGGCTGCAAAGCTTCTTCCTCTTTCGTGTTCTTCTGTGAGTGACTTGAATCTTGCGTAAGCGAACTGAATAGACCCGAAGTTTCTGATGCCTCCGTAGATTTTATGCTTACGCTTATCGAATCTGTTGAACCCTTACCGCTAGCGGCTGGTATTTGAACAGGACTAGAACTTTGTGGCGCATGCGTAGTATTACCATTACAACGCGTATCCTGCTGTCCGCCCATTACACGCACTAGCTCCCGCACCGATACCGATGACAAGCCTTCTGCGGCATCTGAACGTTTGCGCTGATGTTCTTTAGCTGGTGAGGGTGGTCCGCCACCAGCAGCCCCAGAGCCTGCGCCCTCCAACGCATCACCTTTAAACCATTTTTGTAACGCTTGCAGTTTAATGGCGCCACCGCCAACAACACCGGCAATGGCCGACCCGATCTGTGACGGACTTGTGTTTTGTAATGAGTGTAAAGACAAGAGATCGGCTTGCTGTTGTTGTGCTTGTTGCTGCTGCTGCTGTTGGGACGACGATGAGGTGGTGCTCGTCTGTGTCGAAGATTGCATATCAAACACTTTTTGTATTTCACTGTCCTCCGATTCAGATTTTTCAACACTCGGAAACAGAAATGGATTTGTTGAGGCGTGTGAAATATCCGAAGACTTCGGTGGCGTAAAGCGGCCATGTGAGAAGTCGAAGATCTTCTTGCAGGGTGACGTGGATTTCGACTTTGATGGTGATTCGATTGGTACCGGCGAAACGGGCGACTCAGCATTGTCTAGCAAAACTTTGGTGCGCGGCTTAGACAGCGACTTTCCGCCCCCGCTGCCACCAACCTGCATTGCGGTGGAAGTACCAACACCTACCGACACATCTGTGCCAGTAGTGGTAGGGGCTGTAGTAGTAGTTGCCGCCGCATTTGCTCCCGCACTATTCGAACTCGCCTCAGAGACTGGATGCAGCAATGTCCTGCCAAAGTGCTGATTATATTGCAAACACCATGCTTCAGTCGGATACCAGCCCATAGTGCAATGTTGACGTATCGACTCGGTTGAAAGCCGCAACCATACACCATCATCGTTCTCAATCTCATCGATGAACGAAATGACGCCATTCAACTTGATAATGCCCACTTGTTCGGACTGCAATGTGGGATGTGAGCGTATTCGCAAGCCAGCCGTATTCTTAGTGAAAAATTTCCGCAACTTATTTGGTGGTTGCGGTTTCTTCAGCGCTTGATTATGCGAAGGTGGCGGCAAACCGCCTTCCTTCACCTCCACCCGATATACTTCTTCCAGCAGAATACCATCAATGGTGACGGTAAGACAATAGCTGCCAACCGAGTTAGGCGTCCAGTGTACGCTAAATGTGCCATCTTCCATGTCTTGGGCATACAGCGTCTCAGTGACGCGCGTCTGTATGGGGCTGCTGAAGCGTAATTCTTCAAACGAATAATTGCCGTAAGGTTTCATGAATGTAATGGCTTTAAAGCACATTTTCTCTTTAATTGTTGGTTCGTAGTTTAGGCGCGGTGGCGGTGGAACACCACCATACGAAGTGTTGTCCGTACATGAGCCGCGTCTCATTTTGATGTTGCCGTTGCCAGAAGCGCCAGTCGGTATTGCTTTGATTTCGACCTGTTGGTACATATTTATGTATTTAAATGCATACGATAAAACAGATATTGAAGAAATGGAAAAATCCTTAAATACATAGATACATACATATGTACCTATGTCAGTACGTAGGTACAATCTTTGGAAAACGTTGAAGACGATAAATGAAAAATAAAATCGTATGTTGCACTGGAGCTATAAACTGTAAAAATTAATTAACGAATATGCTGCAATCTCCTTTGATTGCCCCCAATAAAGTTTCGGTTTGGTATTTATGCCGTAGATAAATTTTCAAAACTAAAGCAATTCAATAACTCAGTGAGAGGGAAGACCAGGGTGTTTGCAAAAAAAACTCCAAACGACTTGTCTGAAGGATGCGTCAAGCTAGATCGAGTATGCTGCGAACACAAAACATTCTGATTAGTAATTTTTTTTTTCAGAAAGCCGAATCTTGATATTTTAACTCGACGCTTAAGTTAGGCAGTCATTCAGATATCCCTATGGGAGGAGTTTTAAACCTTAAAATATTACCTGTTTCCTTCGCCGCTAGGCTGCAAATTCTTAGAAATTCGAATGTACATCTTTGAACAATGCATGGAAAGCCTTTGGGCTGAACAGGTTCAGTTAGGTCGCATGTTTTGCGAGAGTTTAAACTCTTTGTCGTCCCTTTAGTAAATTTCAATCGATACTTTGTCGATTCCCCTTTGCAGGCTAGACTTCACTTCAGTTGATTGCTGAAAGGTGTACACGCCCGCAAATTAAGTTATTCACAGTTCCTTCCAGATAGTAGTAGACTTTTGGTCTACCGCTAAATCTAGTTTGAGTCTTGAGTCTGCTATTATTTTTGGTAGTAAAAATCTGTCTGTCCATAGGCTTAGCAACATTGTAGCACTTTGTAAGTTTCTACATCCTGTCTTTCTGGCGTTACAAGGTAAGATCATGGCCGTTTGATTTTCTGTAGATAATTGGTATGCCTTCGCTAGATAGGCATCTAGTAGCACTGCCTTTTTGGCTAGCTCGTCGGTTCTTTCGTTATATTCAGCATCTTATGTCCTTCTTATTGCCTTTGTTTCCTTCCTATTGCCTTCGAACTATTTATCAAACAATTTATGAAGCAATTTATCTTCGAGTAGGTAGTATATGAAAGCAAAGCCTTAAAGGGTGCCTGACTAGTCAACATAAATGTTTATTCGCTGCAAAATATCTGCCGCTTTTCTTCTTGCCTAAATTTTATCTTCAAAGTCTGGCAGCTTTAAGGATCTGTAAATTTCCGGTTCAGAGCAGTAAACCATAGCCCATACTCCTGCGTCCATTTTCGAACCGTCACTGTAAACCTGCCCGAAATCATCTAGCACCTCCGCACACTTACGCCAACCACAAGCCTCTATTATAGCTCCAAAATACCTTACGAAGATCAGGTACGGGATCGCACAGAAGGATGGCGCTATACCACAATGATCATACGTACTGAATCCAAGTTGAAAACGGATCTCACAGACTCATGCTAAACAATATGGGAAATCTTAATTTCACATTGATCGCGTTAATTTTGAATAATTTTTTATTTTTTTGAGTGTATTACTCATTTTCTTCATACAAACAATTTGTTAAACATATATGTATGGAAGAAAATCCTCCAAGAAACATTGCCGAAAATCAATTTAAAACTTAAAATTTTTTCTAGAAATTCTTATTAAAAAGTTTTCAAATTAGATGAAACTTTGAAGAATTTTCATAATTTCCGCACAAATTTTTAAACTTGGATCTATTCGGTTTTTTAGAAGGTGCACTAAACTTAAAACAATAAACATTAAATTAAAAAAAATGCCAAACTTTTATTTTTCACCACTTTTTCCTTTTTATTTTTTATGGATATTTGAATTTGATCTCAAATCTCAATAACAAGGCCTTTTATTTTTATATACGTAGATTTACCATATTTTTGTAATATTTGTATCCTGTAGCATTAAAAACATTAAGCATTTGAACCGAACCGAACCGAACCGCGGTTCAGAAATACTCATGAATCGGTTCTTGAACCGGTACAAGCTTTTTCTGATTGGTTCGAACCACTGAACCGAATACCTGAATTAAACTAATGAAAGGGGTATTCATTTTGACTGGAAAAGGCCCATAAAACCCAAAAACTTCAAGTTATCCCTCTCTCGAAAATTTATTAAAAAAATTTTTAACTAAAGTGCTTTTGGCGCCGTTCGACAGCTTGGACGTGAAACGGATGACAAATTTTGCCAGTTCGGTTGATCGCGCTGCAGCGTTTCCAACTGTTAATGTCAGACAGCAAAAAAACATGGTATTACCATATTGAACAAAAGACACAAAAAAAGTAGGCATACATTTTATATCAAAAATTTGTTCAACCGAACATTAAACTTATATAAAAAGTGGTTCGGTTCTCATTTGTGGAAATTTAGGTTCGATGAATAGTTCAGTTAATTAGTAGTAAAAACGGCCAATCCGGTTCAAACCCGGTTCACGTGCCTGTTCCAAACATTTCGAGAAAAATTAGGCTCCAGAACACTTAAAGTATTAGAAAAAGGTTCTTTCCCTCAAAGGAATGTTTTTCTGTTTTTGGAACGACTTTCCTTCATACCTTATCAAGCGTGGTTTGGAGACAAAACATTTCGGCGTATCGGAAACACCATTTACCAAAAAAAAACAAAAACAAAGCAACTTAACAGGACACTAACCTTTAATTCGGGCACCAGCACAGCATCACCATATTGATCGCGTATAGTCACAGTAATCTGAGTTGGCCAGCCATAACGCAAAGGTTCGGTTATTGTGTTCAATTCGCATCTGATTGGAAACGTGACGGGGAAATTATTAAAAGAAAGGACTAGTTAAAATAAAGCAAATAAAAAAGTGAATGACTTACTTATTCGGATCGAGGCGTGATTCCGGTTGTAGCCAAGCAGCCAAACGAGCGCCAGATGAACCCGGTGCGCCACTAATGAAATCTTTAAGAAATTGACGTTCATTTGATTGAGAGCTGAAAGAAAAAAAAGAAATAAATTAATTGCTTCACACAATTACGCAAACGTATAGCATAAGATTTATTTATTAAGCAAATAAAGTAGTCGATTCACTTTACATTTAACAGGTGTAGTGGCTGTGAAAATTTAACGAATTAAAACCACAACGAGCGCACAACACACACAGCCAACGGCCAAGTAGATGAAAATGAAAAATAACAGCCATTAAAAGAAAATCTTCAAATCAGAATTTCATGTCTACAAATGGGAATTCTAATTGTAATTCCGAGCGCGACTGAGGCAATCATTATGAACAACAATTTGAAAACCATTTCTCTAACTGGCTCAGCGGCGGCATTCACCTTTGTTCTTTATGGTTTCTTTTTAAGATTTCATTTTAATACTTTTTTTTTTCAGAGCATTAACTACCTTACACGTGGATTGCTGTGGGAATAATAAAGCCTACCCTTTTAGCCCTTTTTGTGATAACAATAAATGCACTGCCTTTAGTTCACCGTCAAACTGTCTGTTCGCTGCTTCGAAGTTTCCAAGCCAACAGAAACGGCAATTAATAAAAGTTCGGCAGAGCCAAAAGCGTTAATACTACTTTTGTAGGCACATACTTTCAACATACATTTCTACAAACATACATATGTATGAAGTTTTTATATATTCCTATGCATTTGTGCAAATGTGTATGTACATATATGCGTCCAGCTATAAATTGGTAGTTATATTTTTTTCGGTTAACTTTATGGCTGCTCCCATCGTCGTACGTCACAAAGTCAGTGCAGTTAAAACGCACAACACCGCATATCCCGGCGTGCGCAGGCGCTGCTCTTTTCTTTTCAGTACATTTATTCCCTTCAGCCATCATATTTTTAGGCTTTGCCTCATAATCGCCGTACAATCACTGAGTTATTCCACAAATGATCAGTCCACAAAGTGATGGGAACGTGTCGTACGTGCGCAGACAAAGCAAATGGCTAGAGGAGAAAACAGGCTGTTTGACGTGCTTGGCACAATAGCAGGAGCAGTGATATTTCGTGCTACACACAAACACACACACACACACACACACACACACACACACACACACACACACACACACACACACACACACACACACACACACACACANCATCATACATACATATATACATACCCTGTAGTCAATATACCTTCTAGTAGATTAGCTGTTATACCTTGATGCAAAGTCTGACTAGTTCTTTAACAGGTGCATAAATATAAACTAATGCAGAAAATTTTAAATTTCGAGGTATCAATGCCACAAAGAAAAATTAAAATGGTTTTGCCCCCTCAACTGATTTAAGCTGATGCAGAGGCTGACTAGTTTGTCGTTTCATAGCTGCTACTACATGGCCTAACAATTTACAATTCGTAGCATATCTTTGTGTTAAAGATATCGGCTGCTAAATGAAAAAATAAAAACTTTGTAAATGAGCTACAAACAAAAGTGATAGTATGATTTAGTATTTTTCTCTGCAGGGTAGTTACTTCAGCCCACAATTTATGCGTGTATGTATGTATGTACATACATATGTACCTTGAAAAGTAGTAAATCGAACACGGAGTGCATGAATGAAGACTATAACCCGCGTCTGCGTAGCTGAAGCTGATCTCAGCTGGATATGTGTAGAACAAATTTGTGTTTTTATTTACCAGATTCAACTAAATGGGCAAATCTATACTTTTACACTGATAGCGCACAACTTTAGATATGTATATGTAAAGTGCCAAAATCCGATTCAGATTAACAAGTAAAAGAGTATAAGTTTGGGCGAAATCGAATTTTATATACCCGGTGCAGGTAATAAATATCGTCAAAAGTGGGCGGCGTCACGCCCTTTTTCCAAAAATATATAATAATCTAATTTTTTGCTCAGTGTTTATTGCAATAATATATGTTGTGTCAATTAGTTTCAGTAGTTACTGATTTATCACAGTTTTCCGCATTCGCATCCGCGGATGTCTAAAATTCCACATTCGCAACATCTCTAGTATGAATGTATGTATATAAAAAAATAGCTCTACTTTTAATGTAAATGCAAAAAAAAATCAAATTAGTACTCATAAAGAATGAAATTGAAGATTTCATATCTTTAAGATAAATAATCAATTTGGAGATATCGTTCAGATTTAATGGATGTGCAGCTCAAAAACCGTAAAAATTTAAAAACCGCACTTTTTCAAACCATTTGCAGGTCTCAGAAACGCAACCGATTTTGGATTAGGTGCTAGTTTTGAAAACATATTAAGACTAGGTTTTAAAAGCTGCATTGTCTAAGAAACGATAACAAACACTGCGAGCGACGTGGAGCGCAGTAAAAAAATTTTCATACAAAAAAAAAAGGTCTGTCGGAACAAGTTACCGACCCCTAAAAATGCTTTTATTTTAAAAATATTTGTAGATCAAATTACTTTAACTGGCATCGCAACCCAAAAACCCAAAAAAATAGTTTAAATACGCATTTACTATAACTTCAAAATGAGACTTTCTTCTGTTAAAAAACAAAAATTTGCGGATCAAAAGTTGTTAGTGAAAAGATATTCTGCCGGAATCCACAGTAAAATCATTCATTTTTTTTTTAACTTCGGTCCTAAAATTGCCCCGTCCTTTTCTAGGTGTTGTCGCCTTGAACAAAAATCTTCCTGAAGATATGTTTTTTACTGGATGGGTATTCATTTTAAAAGAATCCGCAAGAAAATTTACATATTTGCGAATACGCGTTTTTTTCCACCTTACCAATTGATTTACACTGTGAACTTATTATTTATGATAAGCAAATATTGGAAAAAATTTGTTGATCTTAACTATGTGGATGGATATTAATTAACTATGTGGATGGATATTAATTAGTTGTATGGTAGAGCACCGATCTTGACGATTTTCTAGGTAGACATTGTATGATTAATCACGAAATTTCTCTTTTTTTCTTTCGCCGGTTAAAATTTAACTTCTCGTTAAACAAATCCAAATTTGACCAGGAGTCAAAGCACCCGTTAACCGTTAACTTTAAGAGGCAGTCTAGAAAACGGCCTTCAATGACGGAGTTTTAAGGTAAAACTTCATATCCGAACAATCAGTTTTATGGGAGCTGTTATATAAACTCTCTAATGATAATAAATGAAAGTAGTGCGAAGTTTCATGTACCGACCTGCATAAATGAAGAGGGTTACAACTCAAAATCTCATAACTGAACAATATGATATATGAGAGCCATATGTTGTAGTGGTCCGATTTTGCCGATTTTGGACATGACTAAATCGACTCAGCTCGACGTTCTGATCATTTTGGAATACCTTTTTATGGGTCTATCTCTTCTTGTTCTCGCACTTACAAACATTAAAGTTATAATACAACTTCATCTTCATGAAAGGTATACAAAAATGGGAGCGCAAAGAAGCACAATTCGTATTTTATATAAGGTTCTAAAACAGAATTTTCTTCTAGTAACTTATAAATAAATCAGAAAACCCTACTTACGAGTATACTTGCATATAGACAATAAGAATTTGTATGCAGAAATGAAATGCCTCTCTAGAAGCAAACTGACTTCTTTATTACAAGATGAACATCGATGGTAAGAAATTGTGATCAAAACTGATTTAGTATTAAATATGTACTATGTATTTGTAGTTACATACATATGTACCGTATGTCTGTCTGCAATCAAGATCCAAGCTGAAGTCATACAAAAATTCCTGCATAAGTAGTAGGTAATGCAAAAGAAAACTATTCATTAAATGGTTTTCGTATTTACCATAAAATCTCATTAGATTTTATTGTACGAGGCACCTGTTATCAGGATAACTCGACGCATAGTACGCGAATTGAATTTTAATGAACTACAAAAACATGACGCTAGCAACATACATATGTACACATGTATGTATGAATATATTATATATTTGGGTGTTCACAGTTCGTTACAAATTGTGACATTTCCTAACTAACGACACTGTCTACATTTTGTCACACTCAAAGGTATATTTTTTAAGCGTCTACATTTTTCAATTTCGTAGCAAGGTTGCACTATTACAACACCAATCGGATTTTTTTAATTTACTGGGGTTGTTTTTCGTTCTTGCTTTTGATTTAAGCGCATTGGCTGATGAAAACAAACAAGCTAAAAATATGTAGAACAACCAATATTAGCAATGGCGAGTTAAGTTAAACAATTAAAATTTTTCAGAACCAAAATCGAATGGCAACATATAAAAAATGGACGCAAAGAAGAAATGTGTGGCAACACTAGCAAAGTTTTTCGACGTCTGCTAGAAAGGGGTGTGCTCACAGTTTGATTCTAAAAATGTCTCAAAAAAAACGCTGATGTCGACATTTTGAGACACAATTTGGAACGAACTGTGAACACCCCATAAATTTATATGTACATACAAACAGTTTGCTTTAAAAGTCCTGATTGAAAAAAATAACCAGATACAGATTAGGAGAGCGATATCAATCAAATCAGTTAGCAAAGGAAAGAACGAGAAGCGGTTTTAGGCAAAGAGAATGAAATAATTGAGTAATTGAGTGTTTTATGACTTGCTCTTCACAATTGAAGTACTCATCTTCTCTTTCACTCAATCAGCAGCCAACTCTCTCTTTTGACGATCCAAGCAGAGAACTTATAAGTTCTCTGATCAATGTACCTCTTTTTTAGTATTGTTTGGCTTATCACAAGTTTCAACATGTAAATTTTCTTCGGAGATATACAAATCTACATATGTGAGCGTATGTATGGGTGTACCACATATGCATAGAATACCTACGCATGCATAGTTACCACAGCAGTAAATCGAATTGGTACGGAACTCATGCAGACCTTGCTTAAAAAGGTACAATACTGCTTCTTCGCCGATCCTAATTCAATGCTTTCAACTGTCTTTTTAGCATGGCGATATCCGATGAAGTGATAATTAAAAGCGGTCTGACCTGGTGATGTAGTTTTCGAGGGATTATTTTGTTGTTGAGGATGAAGTGCTTCAGGCTATCTTATTTTATTAAAATTGCATACTTTCTTATTTCATTTTCAGGCGTAAATCTGTCAAGATCAATTAGCTTTGAATGCTGAGTCTAGTCGCAGGGAATTTTCATTTGTCGTGTGGATGTCGCCGTCGCCATCTTGAAAGCAAGAGTGACCAAGGTTTTTTTTTACTAATCCAGGTTAGCAGCCACTTTTTCGCCAGATTTTCCTTATGTCACTGTACTAAAAGTGGGTAAAACGATGTGATATCGCGATTTTTACGTTATATTAAAACGAATTATGTACATACATATTTGCTAATAAAATTTTGAGGTTCTTGCAACGGACAATTTACTACTGGGCATTTTCATACGTATCGCTCATTTACTAGAAGAGTGTCATAATCCCAAAAAACAACATACCAATTTAAATATGCAGAAATGAACGTTGCCTCTTCTTTGTTATATAAAAATTTCTAAGCTGTACCGATTACTAGTAGCTCGCTAAAACGAAATATGTATTCATTTTTACTATGGGAGGATTTGTAAATTCAAAACATCAAAGTCGTTTTACTCGATCTTTTGGTTTTTTGAGTTATGACAGTCTTTTAGTAAATGAGCAATATGCCCATAAGTATGTAAGTGTGTAGGGTGGAATAAGTATCGATATAAAATTCCATTTAAAATTTTGACTTGCATTTCCTTTCCATGCTAGCCCAATGTGCATATCTGATTGGAATAATGTTGTTATATACATACATAGGTAATATATATCTATACATACATATGTATATTTATAGCTACGAGTAAAATAATAGCAGCAAAATTCTAAATTCGCTAAAAATTACCGTTGATTTTTTTTTATTTTTTTTTCTGTCGAGGGTGTTGCGCTGTTTTTTCCCCATTTTTTTCTTAGTTTAGTTACCTTTTGTGAACTTTGTGCAAGCTTTAAAACTTTTATTTATGTGGTTTCTGATATGGATCGACACACATTTTAAATGAAAATTATTAACAATAAATTGGCAACAGCATCATTTTGAATTCTGCTACTATTATTTTACCCGCACGTGTGAACATTTTTTGATTCTCGGTATGCAGCATGCATTTGTATTCCGCAAAGTGTAGTGGAACTATTTGACTTTTGAGTATTTTCCAACGCGCATTTTCGGAAGTTTTTTACACTTTTATTTTATTTATTGCTAAATTTTCTTAAATATTTTATTGTTTTAGTTTGAAGAGGCTTTAAGGAATTATTGGGATAAAACATGACACCCACACACACCTGGGAATGATACAATTATATTCATTCATTTTTACTTCACTGATATATAATTTTATTGAAGTTTATAGATATGTTGTTATGGATGTACCTACATATGTATGTAAGTGCCTCTTTATCAAAAACAAAAAAAGAAAATTATAAAAATGAAAGAAACCAGTACATGAGGAAATCTATAAATCTAAAACAACCACAGATATAGCCGTCATATCGCGGCAGCAATCACATTCAGGTACAAACCTACATATGTACATACAAATGTAAGCAAATGTAGTTTCTACTATTGAAAATTTTTAATTTTGATGGGGTAATTCATAATTGAAGACTTGATATGATGCAACTGAATGCACATGCATACATACAAACATATGTATGTAAGTATGTGACTTTGTACTCTCCAGCGTAAAAGATGGGGGAATCGACGCCTCAATGCTTACTACAAACTGTGGCAATATTAAATAGAGCACATGGGCCCTTACTAGCCCCATATACTAACTCCCTTCGAACAATGTGACTTCGGTAGGGCAATAGTATATAATATGAAATTCCATATAAAACGAAATGGGGAAAAAAAACCGCTCAACAAGTTTTGGTATCCACCACCAATCACCAGCATAGCAAACACCTAAACTGTTTTGGTTTTTAATTTTAATTTTAGTTTTGTGGTTTTGTACTCTAAATCACGCAAACCTATAAAACAAAACACTTGATGCCACGAAGACGTGTTTGTTGAAGGGGGAAAATGCGATGAAAATGCAGCAAAGTGGACGCCAGTCTACATAACTACAAATACATATGTATGTGTATAAACGCGCCATGTGCAGCTATCGGACAGTGCTCCCATTTGTAGCAAACTAACCAACGCCAAACTAAACTCAAATAAAAATTTTATATACCAGCAAATATGAGTGTACGCTTTTTTTTCGTACTTAAGTATATACATGTGTATCTATGTATGTAAATACTTTTTCAATCGCAGTAAAGAAATTATTATTTGATAAGTTTGCGGCATGGGGTTACTTAATAGTGGGAGTTTAGCTTTAGCGGCCATTAATGCTAACTGGTAATTATTGTGACAACAAAAAATTTAGAATATTTTATTTTTTAATTACATACAGTGGGCCATAACACTCTACATGCGGCCACAATTACTTCTGTCTAGCAAATCTAAAGTGTTATGGACAAAATTAATGATGCAGGTTTGTTTTTAATGCTTTTATTTATATGCATATTATAAAAACAGATAACTTCTTCAAGTATAAACCTAGAAAATTAATCACAAAAAACGAGAAAATACTGAAATAAATTATTTTTTTTTTTTTTTTTTATTTTATCGCCTTTTAACAATTGTATTCAACAATTTTTATTGAGCTTGTGGCCTTTTTTAATGAAAAACTTATTGTGGAAAAGCAACAATAATTTGAAAAAATGGTAGAAGTGATAGGTATGAGCTCTGAAAGTATTCAACTCGGAACACGCTGGTGGTAGCAGAGGAAGAGGGAGACCTCCACTGCGATGGAAAGATCAGGTGGAGAAGGACTTGG